TTTTTTTTCTTTTGCTCTACCCAGGTACGTGGGGGAGTTTCTTGCCTTTTGGGAGGTCTGAGGTCTTCTGCCAGCCTTCAGTAGGTGTTCTGTAGGAGTTGTTCCACGTGTAGATGTATTTCTGGTGTATCTGTGGGGAGGAAGGTGATCTCCACGTCTTACTCTTCCGCCATCTTCCGCCAAAGCTCTCTGGGCTTTCTATCTTTTTCCATTGATCTATGTTTCTGTTTTTGTGTCAGTACCATATTGTCTTGATTACTGTAGCTTTGTAGTATAGTCTGAAGTCAGAGCGTCTGATTCCTCCACCTCTGTTTTTTTCCCTCAAGGCCTCTTTGGCTATTCAGGGTCTTTTGTGTCTCCATACAAATTTTAAGACTTTTTGTTCGAGTTCCATAAAAAATGCCATTGGTAATTTGATAAGGATTGCTTTGAATCTGTAGATTGCTTTGAGTAGTATAGTCATTTTCACAATACTGATTCTTCCAATCCAAGAACATGGTATATCTCTCCATCTGTTAGTACCATCTTTAATTTCTTTCACCAGTGTCTTATAGTTTTCTGCATACAGGTCTTTTGTCTCCTTAGGCAGGTTTATTTCTAGGTATTTTATTCTTTTCTTGCAGTGGTAAATGGGACTGTTTCCTTAATTTCTCATTCAGATTTTTCATCATTAGTGTATAGGAATTAAAGAGATTTCTGTGCATTAATTTTGTATCCTGCAATTTTACCAGATTAGCTGATTAGCTCTAGTAGTTTTCTGGTGGCATCTTTAGGATTCTCTATGTATAGTATCATGTCATCTGCAAACAGTGACAGTTTTGTTTCTTCTTTTCCAATTTGGATTCCTTTTATTCCTTTTTCTTCTCTGATTGTTGTGGCTAGGACTTCCAAAACCACGTTGAATAGTAGTGGTGAGAGTGGACATCCTTGTCTTGTTCCTCATTTTAGAGGAAATGCTTTCAGTTTTTCACCATTAAAAATGATGTTTGCTGTGGGTTTGTCATATATGGCCTTTATTATATTCAGGTATGTTTCCTCTATGCCCACTTTCTGGAGAGTTTTTATCATAAATGTGTGTTGAATTTTGTCAAAATCTTTTTTTGCATCTATTGAGATGATCATATGGTTTTTATCCTTCAATTTGTTAATATGGTGTATCACATTGATTGATTTGTGTATATTGAAGAATCCTTTCATCCCTGGGACAAATCCCACTTGATCACAGTGTACAATCCTTTTAATGTGTTGTTGGATTCTCTTTGCTAGTATTTTGTTGAGGAATTTTGAGTCTATACTCATCAGTGATATTGGTCTGTAATTTTTTATTTTTTTGTAGTATCTTTGTCTCATTTTTGTGTCAGGGTGATGGTGGCCTCATAGAATGATTTTGGGGGTGTTCCTTCTTCTGCAATTTTTTGGAAGAGTTTGAGAAAGATGGGTGTTAGCTCTTCTCTAAGTGTTTGATAGAATTCACCTGTGAAGGTTTCTGGTCCTGGACTTTTGTTTATTGGAATATTTTTAATCACAGTTTTAATTTCATTATTTGTGATTGGTCTGTTCATATTTTCTATTTCTTCCTGGTTCAGTCTTGGGAGGTTATACATTTCTAAGAATTTGTCCATTTCTTCCAGGTTGTCCATTTTATTGGCATAGAGTTACTTGTAGTTGTCTCTTAAGATGCTTTGTATTTCTGCAATGTCTGTTGTAACTTCTCCTTTTTCATTTCTAATTTTATTGATTTAAGTCCTCTCCCTCTTCTTCTTGATGAGTCTGGCTAATGGTTTATCAATTTTGTTTATATTCACAAAGAGCCAGCTTTTAGTTTTATTGACCTTTGCTATTGTTTTCTTTGTGTCTATTTCATTTATTTCTGCTCACATCTTTATGACTTCTTCCCTTCTGTTAACTTTGGGTTTTGTTTATTCTTCTTTCTCTAATTCCTTTAGGTGTAAGGTTAGATTGTTTATTTGAGATTTTTCTTGTTTCATGAGGTAGGTTTGTATAGCTATATACTTCCCCCTAGAACTGCTTTTGCTGTATCCCATAGGTTTTTGATCATCATATTTTCATTGTCATTTGTCTCTAGGTATTTTTTGACTTCCTCTTTGATTTCTTCAGTGATCTCTTGTTTATTTAGTAACATATTGTTTAACCTCCATGTATTTGTGTTTTTTATGTTTTTTCCCTGTAATTGATTTCTAATCTCAGAGTGTTGTGATCAGAAAAGATGCATGATATGATTTCAATTTTCTTACATTTACTGAGGCTTGATTTGTGACCCAAGATGTCATCTATCCTGGAGAAAGTTCTGTGCACACTTAAGAATAAAGTTAAATCTGCTGGGTTTGGATGGAATGTCCTTTAAATATCAATTAAATCTATCTGGTCTATTGTGTAATTTGAAGCTTTTTTTTCCTTACTAATTTTCTGTTTGGATGATCTTTCAATTGGTGTAAGTGAGGTGTTAAAGTCCCCCACTATTATTGTGTCACTGTTGATTTCCCCTTTTATAGCTGTCAGCAGTTACCTTATGTTTTGAGGTGCTCCTACATAGGATGCATATGTATTTATAATTGTTATATCTTCTTCTTGGATTGATCCCTTGATCATTATGTAGTGTCCTTCCTTGTCTCTTGTAACATTCTTTATTTTAAAGTCTATTTTATCTGATATGAGTATTGCTACTCCAGCTTTCTTTTGATTTCCATTTGCATGGAATATCTTTTTCCATTCCCTCACTTTCAGTCTGTTTGTGTCCCTAGATCTGAGGTGGGTCTCCTGTACACAGCATATATATTGGTCTTGTTTCCGTATCCATTCAGCAAGCATGTGTCTTTTGGTTGGAGCATTTAATCCATTCACGTTTAAGGTAATTATTGATATGTATGTTCCTATTACCATTTTCTTAATCGTTTTGGGTTTGTTTGGTAGGTGTTTTTCTTCTCTTGTGTTTCCCACTTAGAGAAGTTCCTTTAGCTTTTGTTGTAGAGCTGGTTTGGTGATGCTGAATTCTCTTACCTTTTGCTTTTCTGTAAAGCTTTTGATTTCTCCATCGAATCTGAATGAGATCCTTGCAAGGTAGAGTAATCTTGGTTGTAGGTTCTTCCCTTTCATCACTTTAAATATATCATGCCACTCTGTCTGGCTTGTAGAGTTTCTGTTGAGAAATCAGTTGTTAACCTTATGGGATTTCTCTTGTATGTTATTTGTCATTTTTCCCTTGCTGATTTCAGTAATTTTTCTTTGTCTTTAATTTTTGCCAATTTTATTACTATGTGTCTCAGCATGTTTCTCCTTGGGTTTATCCTGTATGGTACTCTATGTGCTCCCTGCACTTGGGTGGCTATTTCCTTTCCCATGTTAGGGAAATTTTCGACTATAATCTCTTCAAATATTTTCTTGGGTCCTTTCTATCTCTCTTCTCCTTCTGGGACCCCTATAATGCGAATGTTGTTGCCTTTACTGTTGTCCCAGATGTCTCTTAGGCTGTCTTCATTTCTTTTCATTCTTTTTTCTTTATTTTGTTCTGCAGCAATGAATTCCACCATTCTGTCTTCCAGGTCACTTATCTGTTCTTCTGCCTCAATTATTCTGCTATTGATTCCTTCTCGTGTATTTTTCATTGCAGTATTATATTGTTCATCTCTCTTGTTTTGTTCTTTAATTCTTCTAGGTCTTTGTTAAACATTTCTTGCATCTTCTCGATCTTTGCCTCCATTCTTTTTCTGAGGTCCTGTATCATGTTCACTATCATTATTCTGAATTCTTTTCCTGGAAGGTTGCCAATCTCCACTTCATTTAGTTGTTTTTCTGGGGTTTTATCTTGTTCCTTCATCTGGTACATAGCCCTCTGCATTTTCATCTTGTCTATCTTTCTATGAATGTGTTTTTTGTTCCACAAGCTGCAGGATTGTAGTTACTCTTGCTTCTGCTGTCTGCCTTCTGGTGGATGAGGCTATTTAAGAGGCTTGTGCAAGTTTCCTGATGGGAGGGACTGGTAGTGGGTAGAGCTGGCTGTTGCTCTGGTAGGCAGAGCTCAGTAAAACTTTATTCCACTTGCCTCTTGATGGGTGTGGCTGAGTTCCCTCCCAGTTGGTTGTTTGGCCTGAGGCAACCCAACACTGGAGCCTACCCTGGCTCTTTGGTGGTGCTAATGGCAGACTCTGGGAGGGCTCATGCCAAGGAGTACTTCCCAGAACTTCTGCTGCCAGTGTCCTTGTCCTCACAGTGAGACAGAACCACCCTCTGCCTCTGCAATAGAACCCCCAACACTAGCAGGTAGGTCTGGTTCAGTCTCTATGGGGTCACTGCTCCTTCCCCTGGGTCCCGATGCACACAGTACTTTGTGTGTGCCCTACGAGAGTGGAGAGTCTGTTTCCCACATTCCTGTCAAAGTCCTGCCATCAAATCCCGCTAGATTTCAAAGTCTGATTCTCTAGGAATTCCTCCTCCCAATGCCAGACCCCCAGATTCAGAAGCCTGATGTGGGGCTCAGAATCTTCACTCCAGTGGGTGGATTTCTGTGGTGTAAGTGTTCTCCAGTTTGTGGGTCACCTACCCAGCAGTTATGGAATTTGATTTTATTGTTATTGTGCCTCTCCTACTGTCTCATTGTGGCTTCTCCTTTGTCTTTGGATTGGGGTATCTTTTCTGGTGTGTTCCAGTGTCTCCCTGTTGATGATAGTTCAGCAGTTAGTCATGATTCCAGTGTTCTTGCAAGAGGGAATGAGAGCACGTCCTATACTCTGCCATCTTGCACCAATCTCTCCCTGTATCTTATTTATTTTATACCCAGTAATTTGTGCTTCTTAATCTCCTTCACCTATGTTGCCCCTCTCCCACCTGTCTCTCCACTAGTAACCACTAGTTTGTATATGTGAGTCAGTTTCTGTTTTGTTATATTTGTTTTGATTACTGTAGCTTTGTAGTATAGTCTGAAGTCAGGAAGCATGATATATCTGGCTTTGTTCCTTTTTTCCCAAGATTGCTTTGGATATTCAGGGTCTTTTGTGGTACCATACAAATTTTAGTATCATTTGTTTTAGTTTTGTGGAAAATGTCGTGGGTCTTTTGATAGGGATTGCATTAAACCTATAGATTGCTCTGGTAGTATAAACATTTAAAAAATATTAATTTTCCAACCACTGAACATGGGGTATCTTTTTATTTATTTGTATGATCTTCAATTTCATTCATCAATATCTCATAGTTTTCAGAGTGTAATTTTTTCACCACCTTGATTAAGTTTATTCCTAGGTATTTTATTCTTTTTGATGTGATTATAAATGGAATTGTTTTCTTGATTTCTCTTTCAGATAGCTCATTATTAGTTTATAGAAAAGCAAAATATTTTTGTATCTTAATCTTGTATCCTGCAACTGTACTGAATTGATTTACTAGTTCCAATAGTTTTTTGGTGTAGTGTTTAGGGTTTTCTATATATAGTATCATGTCATCTGTGAATAGTGACAGTTTTCCTTTACCTGTTTTAATTTGGATGTCATTTATTTCTTTTTCTGGTCTGATTGTTTTGGCCAGGATTTATAATACTGCATAAAATAGAAATGGCAAGAGTGTGTATACTTGTCTTTTTCCTGATCTTAAAAGAAAAGCTTTCAGCTTTTCACCATTGAGTATGATATTAGCTGTGGGCTTGTCATTAAATGGCCTTTATTATGTTGAGATATGTTCCCTCTATACTAACTTTGTTGAGATGTTTTTACCATGAATGGATATTAAATTTTGTCAGATATTATTTCTGCATCTGAGATGATCATGTGGTTTTGTTAATGTGATTATTTTTTAGTTTGTTAATGTGATGTATTGCATTGATTGATTTGCAAATATTGGATCATCATTACATCCCTGGAATAAATCCTACTTCAACATGATGTATGATCCTTTTTATGTATTGTTGAATTCAGTTTGATACTATTTTGTTGAGGATTTTTGCATCTATCATCAGAGATATTGGCCTGTAATTTTTTTTTTTGTAGTGTTTTTCTCTGATTTTGGTATCAGTGTAATGCTGGCCTTGTAGAATAAGTTTGGGAGTGTTCCCTCCTTTTTAATTTTTGGAATAGTTTGAAAGAGCTAGGCATTAACTCTTCTTTAAATGTTTGGTAGAATTCCACTGTGTACTTTCCAGTCCTGAACTTTTTTTGGGGGGAGTTTTTTGATTACTGATTCAATTTCAGTGCTAGTAATTTGTCTGTTCAGATTATCTATTTCTTCCTTTCAGTCTTGGAAGAAAGAAAAAATGTGTGCTCTGGGAATTCATCTATTTCTTCTAGGTTGTCCAATTTGATGGTGTATAACAGGTTGTTGCATTATTTTATAATTGTTTGTATTGGTGTGATATTGGTTGTTATTTCTCTTTTATCTCTACTTTTGTTTATTTGGGTCTTCTTTTTTTCTTAATGAGCCTGGCTAAAGGTTTATCAAGTTTGTTTATCTTTTCAAAAGCCAGCTCTTGGTTTCATTGATCTTTTCTTTTTCTTTTTTTCCCCTTCGGTGTCTATTTTCTTTACACTCTAATTTTTTATTATTCCCTTCCTTTTGCTGACTTTGGACTTTGTTTGTTCTTCTTCTTCTAATACCTTTAGATGGAAAGCTAGGTTGCTTGAGGTTTTTCTTGTTTCTTGAGGTAGGTCTTTATCATTATATATTTCCCCTTAGAGCTGCTTCTGCTGCATTCCTTAGGTTTTGGAAAGTAGAGTTTTTATTTTCATTTGTCTCAAGGTATTTTCTGATTTCCTCTATGATCTCTTCATTGACTCATTTGTATTTTAGTAGCAAGTTGTTTACTCTCCATGTATTTGTGTTTTTCTCATTTTTCTTCCTGTAATTGGCTTCTAAATTCATATTATTGTGTTCAGAAAAGAAGCTTGATAAGATTTCAGTCTTCTTAACTTTATTGAGATTTGTTCTGTGGCATAACATGTGATCTGTCCTTGAGAATGGTACATGAGCACTTGAAAAGAATGTGTATTCTTATATTTTTGGATGGAATGATCAGCGGATATCTATTAACTACATCTAGTCTAATGTGTCAGTTAAGGTCAGTGTTTCCTTAGTGATCTTCTTTCTTGATGATTTATTAATTGCCCTAAGTGGGGTATTAGAGGCCCCTACTACTATTGTGTTATTGTCAATTTCTCCCTTTATGTCTGTTAATATTTGCTCTATATATTTAGGTGCTCCTATATCAGGTGCATATATGTTTATGAATATTATATCTTCTTCTTAGATTGTCCCCTTTATTATTATATAATGTGCTTCCTTTTCTTTTATTATAGACTTTTTTTAAAGTCTACTATGTCTAATATGAATATTGCTACTCCAGCTTTCTTTTAATTTCTATTTGCATGGAATATATTTTTCTATCCTCTCTTTTAGTATGTGTGTATCTTAAGATCTGAATTGAGTCTCTTGAAGGCAACATAGAGAACAGTCTTGTTTTTTAATTCAACTAGCCACTCTATATCTTTTGATTGGAGCATTTGGTCCATTAACATGTAAAGTTATTATTGATAGATATGCACTTACTGCCTTTTTGCTACTTGTTTCCTCGTTGTTCATGTTGTTCATCTCCATTCTTTTCTTTTCCTTTAATGCTTCCCTTGTAGTTTGATAAATTCTTTTTAGTGTTATGTTTGATTTTATTTTAATTTTGTTTATCTATTGTAAGTTTTTTCTTTTACTTCTTTATTAGAGTATAATTGCTTTAAAATGGTGTGTTCGTTTCTGCTTTCTATCAAAGTGAATCAGTTATACATATACATATGTTCCCATATCTCTTCCCTCTTGCTTCTCCCTCCCTCCCACCCTCCTTATCCCACCCCTACAGGTGGTCACAAAGCACCAAGCTGATCTCGCTGTGCTATGTGGCTGCTTCCCATTACTATCTACATTACATTTGATAGTGTATATATGTCCATGCCACTCTCTTGCTTTGTCACAGCTTACCCATTCCCCTCCCCATATCCACAAGTCCATTCTCTAGTAGGTCTGTGTCTTTATTCCTGTCTTACCCCTAGGTTCTTCATGACATTTTTTTCCTTAAATACCATATATATGTGTTAGCATACGGTATTTTTCTGTCTCTTTCTGACTTAGTTCACTCTGTATGACAGACTCTAGGTCTATCCACCTCATTACAAATAGCTCAATTTCGTTTCTTTTTATGGCTGAGTAATACTCCATTGTATATATGTGCCACATCTTCTTTATCCATTCATCTGATGATGGACACTTAGGTTGTTTCCAACTCCATGCTATTGTGAATAGAGATGCAATGAACATTTTGGTACATGACTCTTTTTGAACTATGGTATTCTTAGGGTATATGCCCAGTAGTGGGATCGCTGGGTCATATGGTAGTTCTATTTGTAGCTTTTTAAGGAACCTCCATACTGTTCTGCATAGTGGCTGTATCAATTCACATTCCCACCAGCAGTGCAAGAGTGTTCCCTTTTCTCCACACCCTCTCCAGCATTTATTGTTTCTAACTTTCTGATGATGGCCATTCTGACTGGTGTGAGATGATATTTCATTGTAGTTTTGATTTGCATTTCTCTGATGATTAATGATGTTGAGCATTCTTTCATGTGTTTGTTGGCAGTCTGTATATCTTCTTTGGAGAAATTTCTATTTATGTCTTCTGCCCATTTTGGAATGGGTTGTTTGTTTTTTTGTTATTGAGCTGCCTGAGCTGCCTGTAAATTTTGGAGATTAATCCTTTGTCAGTTGCTTCATTTGCAAATATTTTCTCCCATTCTGAGGGTTGTCTTTTGGTCTTGTTTATGGTTTCCTTTGCTGTGCAAAGGCTTTGAGTTTCATTAGGTCACATTTGTTTATTTTTGTTTTTATTTCCATTTCTCTAGGAGGTGGGTCAAAAAGGATCTTGCTGTGATTTAGGTCATAGAGTGTTCTGCCTATGTTTTCCTCTAAGAGTTAGATAGTTTCTGGCCTTACATTTAGGTCTTTAATCCATTTTGAGCTTATTTTTGTGTATGGTGTTAGGGAGTGATCTAATCTCATACTTTTACATGTACCTGTCCAGTTTTCCCAGCACCACTTATTGAAGAGGCTGTCCCTTCTCCACTGTACATTCTTGCCTCCATTATCAAAGATAAGGTGACCAAATGTGCATCAGTTTGTCTCTGGGTTTTCTATCCTGTTCCACTGATCTATCTTTCTGTTTTTGTGCCAGTACCTTACTGTCTTGATTACTGTAGCTTTGTAGTATAGTCTGAAGTCAGGGAGCCTAATTCTTCCAGCTCCGTTTTTCATTCTCAAGATTGCTTTGGCCCTTTGGGGTCTTTTGTGTTTACATACAAATTGTGAAATTTTTTGTTCTAGTTCTGTGAAAAATGCCAGTTGTAGTTTGATAGGGATTGCATTGAATCTGTAGGTTGCTTTGGGTAGTAGAGTCATTTTCACAATATTGATCTTCCAATTCAAGAACATGGTATATCTCTCCATTTATTTGTATCATCTTTAATTTCTTTCATCAGTGTCTTATAATTTTCTGCATACAGGTCTTTTGTCTCCTTAGGTAGGTTTATTCCTAGATATTTCATTCTTTTTATTGCAATGGTAAATGGGAGTGTTTTCTTGATTTCAATTTCAGATTTTTCATCATTAGCGCAGAGGAATGCCAGAGAATTCTGTGCATTAATTTTGTATCCTGCTACTTTACCAAATTCGTTGATTAGCTCTAGTAGTTTTCTGATAGCACCTTTAGGATTCTCTATGTATAGTGTCATGTCATCTGCAAAGAGTGACAGCTTTACTTCTTTTCCAACTTGGATTCCTTTTATTTCCTTTCTTCTCTAATTGCTGTGGCTAACACTTCCAAAACTATGTTGAATAAGAGTGGTGAGAGTGGGCAACCTTGTCTTGTTCCTGATCTTAGTGGAAATGGTTTCAGTTTTTCACCATTGAGGACAATGTTGGCTGTGGGTTTGTCATATATGGCCTTTATTATGTTGAGGAAAGATCCCTCTATGTCTACTTTCTGCAGGATTTTTAACATAAATCCGTGTTGAATTTTGTCAAAAGCTATCTCTCCATCTATTGAGATGATCATATGTTTTTTCTCCTTCAGTTTGTTAGTATGGTTTATCACATTGATTGATTTGCATATATTGAAGAATCCTTGCATTCCGGGAATAAACCCCACTTGATCATGGTGTATGATCCTTTTAATGTGCTGTTGGATTCTGTTTGCGGGTATTTTGTTGAGAATTTTTCCATGTATGTTCATCAGTAATATTGGCCTGTAGTTTTCTTTCTTGTGAAATCCTTGTCTGGTTTTGGTATCAAGGTGATAGTGGCCTCGTAGAATTAGTTTTGGAGTGTTCCTCCCTCTGCTATATTTTGGAAGAGTTTGAGAAGGATAGGTGTTAGCTCTTCTCTAAGTGTTTGATAGAATTCACCTGTGAAGCCATCTGGTCCTGGGCTTTTGTTTGTTGGAAGATTTTTAATCACAGTTTCAATTTCAGTGCTTGTGATTGGTCTGCTCATATTTTCTATTTCTTCCTGATTCAGTCTTGGCAGGTTGTGCATTGTTAAGAATTTGTCCATTTCTTCCAGGTTGTTCATTTTATTGGCATAGAGTTGCTTGTAGTAATCTCTCATGATCTTTTGTATTTCTCCAGTGTCAGTTGTTATTTCTCCTTTTTCATTTCTAATTCTATTGATTTGAGTCTTCTCCCTTTTTTTCTTGGTGAGTCTGGCTAATGGTTTATCAACCTGGTTTATCTTCTCAAAGAACCAGCTTTAAGTGTTATTGATCTTTGCTATCTTTTCCCTCATTTGTTTTTCATTTATTTCTGATCTGATTTTTATGATTTCTTTCCTTCTGCTAACTTTGGGGTTTTTTTTGTTCTTCTTTCTCTAATTGCTTGAGGTGCAAGGTTAGGTTGTTTATTTGAGATGTTTCCTGTTTCTTAAGGTAGAATTGTATTGCTATAAACTTCTCTCTTAAAACTGCTTTTGCTGCATCCCATAGGTTTTGGGTTGTCATGTCTCCATTGTCATTTGTTTCTAGGTATTTTTTTATTTCCTCTTTGATTTATTCAGTGATCACTTCGTTATTAAGTAGTGTATTGTTTAGCCTCCATGTGTTTGTATTTTTTACAGATCTTTTCCTGTAATTGATATCTAGTCTCATAGCGTTGTGGTCGGTAAGACACTTGATACAATTTCAATTTTCTTAAATTTACCAAGGCTTGATTTGTGACCCAAGATATGATCTATCCTGAAGAATGTTCCATGAGCACTTGAGAAAAATGTGTGTACTATTGTTTTTGGATGGACTGTCCTATAAATATCAATTAAGTCCTTCTTGTTTAATGTGTCATTTAAAACTTGTGATTCCTTATTTATTTTCATTTTGGATGATCTGTCTATTAGTGAAAGTGGGGTGTTAAAGTCCCATACTATGTTTGTTTTGCTGTCGATTTAACCTTTTATGGCTGTTAGCATTTGCCTTCTGTATTGAGGTGCTCCTATGTTGGGTGAATAACTATATACAATTGTTACATCTTCTTCTTGGATTGATCCCTTGATCTTTATGTAGTGTCCTTCTTTGTCATTTCTAATAGTCTTTATTTTAAAGTCTATTTTGTCTAATATGAGAATTGCTACTCCAGCTTTCTTTTGGTTTCCATTTGCATGGAATATCTTTTTCCATCCCAATCCTTTCAGTCTGTATGTGTCTCTAGCTCTGAAGTGGGTCTCTTGTAGACAGCATATATATGGGTCTTGTTTTTGTATCCATTCAGCCAATCTGTGTCTTTTGGTGGGAGCATTTAGTCCATTTACATTTAAGGTAATTATCGATATGTATGTTCCTATTCCCATTTTCTTAATTGTTTTGGATTCGTTATTGTAGGTCTTTTCCTTCTCTTGTGTTTCTTGCCTAGAGAAGTTCCTTTAGCATTTATTGTAAAGCTGGTTTGGTGGTGCTGAATTCTCTCAGCTTTTGCTTGTTTGTAAAGTTTTTAATTTCTCCATGAAATCTGAATGAGTTCCTTGTTATTTAGAGTAATCTTGGTTGCAGGTTTTCCCTTGTGTGTTATTTGTTGTTTTTCCCTTGCTGCTTTAAATATGTTGTCTTTGTATTTAATTTTTCACAGTTTGATTAATAAATGTCTTGACGTATTTCTCCCTGGATTCATCCTGTATGGGGATCTCTGTGCTTCCTGGACTTGATTCACTATTTCCTTTCCCATATTAGGGAAGTTTTCAATTATAATCGCTTCAAATATTTTCTCAGTCCCTTTCTTTTTCTCTTCTTCTTCTGGAACCCCTATAATTCTAATGTTGGTGCATTTAATATTGTCCCAGAAGTCTCTGAGACTGTCTTCAGTACTTTTCATTCTTTTTTTCTTTATTCTGCTCTTCAGTAGTTATTTCCACTATTTTATCTTCCAGGTCACTTATCCATTCTTCTGCCTCAGTTATTCTGCTATTGATCCCATCTAGAGTATTTTTAATTTCATTTATTGTGTTGTTCATCGTTGTTTGTTTCATCTTTAGTTCTTCTAGGTCCTTGGTAAATGTTTCTTGCATTTTGTCTATTCTATTTCCAAGATTTTGGACCATCTTTACTATCATTATTCTGAAATCTATTCCAGGTAGACTGCCTATTTCCTCTTCATTTTTTAGGTCTGGTGGGTTTTTATCTTGCTCCTTCATCTGCGGTGTGTTTTTCTGTCTTCTCATTTTGCTTATCTTATTGTGTTTGGGGTCTCCTTTTTGCAGGCTGCAGGTTCATAGTTCCTGTTGTTTTTGGTATCTGTCCCCAGTGGCTATGGTTGTTTCAGTGGGTTGTGTAGGCTTCCTGGTGGAGGGGACTAGTGCCTGTGTTCTGGTGGATGAGGCTGGATCTTGTATTTCTGGTGGGCAGGTCCACGTTTGTTGGTGTGTTTTGGGGTGTCTGTGGACTTATTATGATTTTACGCTGCCTCTCTGCTAATGGGTGGTGTTGTGTTCCTGTCTTGCTATTTGTTTGGCATAGGTTGTCCAGCACTATAGCTTGCTGGTCTTTGAGTGAAGCTGGGTGCTGATGTTGAGATGGAGATATCTGGGAGATTTTCACCATTTGATATTATGTGTAGCTGGGAGATCTCTTGTTGAACAGTGTCCTGAAGTTGGCTCTCCCACCTCAGAGGCACAGCACTGACTCCTGGCTGCAGCACCAAGAACGTTTCATCCTCATGGCTCAGAATAAAAGGGAGAAAAAGTGAAAAGAAAGGAAGAAAGAAAGAAAATAAGTAAGAAAGAAGGAAAGAAAGAATGGAGGGAGTGAGAGAGGGAGGAAGTATGAAGGGAAGGAAGGAAAAAAGATAGAAAGGAGATAAAGTAAAATAAAATATAATAAAGTTATTAAAATAAAAAATTATTAAGAAAAAAAAAACCGGATGGATAGAACCCTAGGACAAATGGTGGAAGCAAAACTATACAGACAAAATCTCACACAGAAGCATACACATACACACTCACAAAAAGAGGAAAAGGGGAATGAATCGTAAATCTTGCTCTCAAAGTCCTCCTCAATTTGGGATGATTCGTTGTCTAAAGCAGGGAAGGAAGGAAAGAAAGAAGATAAAGTAAAGTAAAGTTATTAAAATAAAAAGTAATTATTAAGAAAAAAAATTTTTTAAAAACAAAAACGGACAAATAGAAGCCAAGGACAAATAGTGGAAGCAAAGCTATACAGACAAAATCTCACCCAGAAGCATACACATACACATTCACAAAAAGAGGAAAGGGGAAAAAGTCATAAATCCTGCTGTCAAAGTCCACCCCCTCAGTTTGGGATGATTCGTTGTCTATTCAGGTATTCCACAGATGCAAGGTACATCAAGTTGACTGTGGATCTTTAATCTGCTGCTTCTGAGGCTGCTGGGAGAGATTTCCCTTTCTCTTCTTTGTTCTCACAGCTCCCAGGGGCTCAGCTTTGGATTTGGCCCCGCCTCTGTGTGTAGGTCACCTGAGAGCGTCTGCTCTTCGCTCAGACAGGACGGGGTTAAAGGAGCAGCTACTTCGGGGACTCTGGCTCACTCAGGCTGGGTGGAGGGAGGGACATGTAGTGCAGGGTGAGCCTGCAGCGGCAGAGGCTGGCGGGACGTTTCCCCAGCCTAAGGCGAGCCATGCGTTCTCCCAGGGAAGTTGTCCCTGGATCCCGGGATCCTGGCAGTGGCGGATTGCACATGTTCCCCGGAAGGCGGGTGTGGATAGTGACATGTGCTCGCACACAGGCTTCTTGGTGGCGGCAGCAGCAGTCTTAGCGTCTCATGCACGTCTCTGGTGTCCGTGCTTTTAGCCGCAGCTTGTGCCCGTCTCTGGAACTCCTTTAAGCAGCACTCTTAATCCCCTCTCCTCATGTACCAGGAAACAAAGAGGGAAGAAAAAGTCTCTTGCCTCTTTGTCAATTCCAGACTTTTCCCCAGACTCCTCCCGGCTAGCCGTCGTGCAATAACCCCCTTCAGGCTGTGTTCACACCCGCCAACCCCTGTCCTCTCCCTGTGCTCCGACCGAACCCTGAGCCTCAGCTCCCAGCCCCTGCCTGCCCCAGCGTGTGAGCAGACAAGCCTCTCGGGCTGGTGAGTGTCGGTTGGCACCTATCCTCTGTGCGAGAATCTCTCTGCTTTGCCCTCTGCACCCCTGTTGCTGTGCTCTCCTCCGCAGCTCCGAAGCTTCCCCCCCTCCACCACCCACAGTCTCCACCTGCAAAGGGGCTTCCTAGTGTGTGGAAACCTTTCCTCCTTCACAGCTCCCTCCCACTGGTGCAGGTCCCATCCTTATCCTTTTGTCTCTGTTTATTCTTTTTTCTTTTGCCCTGCCCAGGTACGTGGGGAGTTTCTTGCCTTTTGGGAGGTCTGTGGTCTTCTGCCAGTGTTCAGTAGGTGTTCTGCAGGAGTTGTTCCACGTGTAGATGTATTTCTGGTGTATCTCCAAACTCCAGAACATCACACTCCAGAAGCTGCCTCTCCACTTCCACACTGGTCCTCCTATTGTAAGTTTTTGATTTGTAGTTACCATGAAGTTCATATATGTCAAACTATATACTTGCTTGTTTTAAACTGATAGTCATTTATGTCCAAAGGCATTCTAAAAGATCTACGTGTTTTTGTTTTGTTTTGTTTTGTTTTTTTTGCTGTATGCAGGCCTCTCACTGTTGTGGCCTCTCCCGTTGCAGAGCATAGGCTCTGGATGCGCAGGCTCAGCGGCCATGGCTCACAGGCCCAGCTGCTCCATGGCACGTGGGATCTTCCCGGACCGGGGCATGAGCCCATATCCCCTGCATCGGCAGGCGGACTCTCAACCACTGCACCACCAGGGAAGCCCGATCTACGTGTTTTTGCTCCTCTCATTGCCACATTTTGATGTCTTTTTATTTTTTTTTTGTGGTATGCGGGTCTCTCACTGTTGTGGCCTCTCCTGCTGCAGAGCACAGGCTCCAGACATGCAGGCTCAGTGGCCATGGCTCACGGGCCCAGCTGCTCTGCGGCATGTGGGATCTTCCTGGACCAGGGCGCAAACCTGTGTCCCCGGCATCGGCAGGTGGACTCTCAACCACTGAGCCACCAGGGAAGCCCTGATGGCATATTTTATATCTTCATGTCTATCACTTAACTGCTTATTGCAGTTATAGTTGATTCTACAGTTTTCGTTTTTTAACCTTCATGCTAGCTTATTTAAGTGGTTGATCCACTACCTTTACTATATTTTTGCCTTTACCAGTGAGATTTTTCTCTTCCTATATTTTCTTATTTCTTTTTATAGCCTTTTCTTTTCAATTTTAGAAGACCAATTAACATTTCTTATAAGGTCAGTTTAGTGGTGATGAACTCTTTTAGTTTTAGCTTGTCTGGGAAGCTCTATCACTCCTTCAATTCTGTATGATAACCTTGCCAGATAGAGTATCCTAGGTTGCAGGGTTTTCCCTCTTCACTCTAAATATATTATGCCTTTCCCTTCTGACATGCAATTTTTTTTGCTCAAAAATTGGTTGATAGCCTTATGAGGGTATGTCACTCTTTGTTTTTTCTCTTGATGCCTTTAAAATTGTCTTTAACTTTTGCCGTTTTAATTATGATATGGCTTGATGTTGTTCTCTTTGAATTCATCTTGTTTGATACTCTTTGTGATTTATGGATCTGGATATGGGTCTCATTTTTCAGGTTAGAGACATTTTCAGCCATAATTTTATCAAATATGTTTTCTACCCCTTTCTTTCTCTCTTCTCCTGAGACCCTTATAACATAAATATTAGTGTGATTGATGTTGTCTCAGAAGTCCCTTAAACTATCCTCATTTTTTAAAATTTATTTTTCTTTTTGTAGTTCTGATTGGGTGATTTTCACTATTCTATTTCCAGATCACTCATGTCTTCTTCTCTAACACCTAATCTGTTGTGAATTCGTTCTAGTGTATTTTTCATTTTAATTACTGTGTTCTTCAGTTCTGATTCATTCTTTTAACTTTTTAGGTCTTTGTTGATGTTTTCACTGTGTTCCTCTATTCTTTCCCTGATTTCAGTTGGCATATTTATTACTGTTGCTTTGAACTCTTATCAAGTAAATTATCCATTTCATTAGGTTTTTTTCATTCTTGTTCTTTCATTTGAAACATATTCTTCTGTCTTTTCATTTTGTTTTACTCTCTTTGTCTCTATGAAATTAGGCAAAAGTTACCTCTCCTGGTCTTTAAGGTGTGATCTTGTGTGGGAGCATCCTTATGCAGTCTGCATGTGCCTAGTGGCTTTGGTGGGAAAGCTAGGTCTGATGTGAGCATGGGTTGTATCTTCTCCCAAGGTTTGCT